GGACCCTAACACAAGCAAGAGAAGAAGTATAGCCTCCAGCAAGGTCCTGTGGAGAGGCAGCTCTGACAGGATTTAAATACACAAGTCTTCCTAGCATCTCAAACTCAAGAACGTGTGGTCCATATGTCTCTATTTGCAGTGGTTGGTATTCATACAGTGTTTCTTCTAGTTTTTGAATAGGTGCCAATGAAATATGCTGACTCATTTTGATGCCTGTGGGAAACGTCACTGGTTTTATAGGTTTAGGTTTCTCAAGCTGCATTTCCAATTGAGTAGATCTGTCTTTATTTTGAGCCAAAAGCAGAGCAACAGGGAGATCAGAACTCTCCAGTCCATCTAAAAATGCCTGCTTATTCTTCCTTTTTAGAATCTGCTGCAGTTGTTCTTTTTTTTGCATAAATAGACTTCTTTGTTCATTTTCTTGTCTTTCTATCTCTAAAGCTTCTTCCAACTCTTCCTGTTCCCGAGTCAGCTTAAACTTGTTTTTCTGAATGACATCTTTGTGTTCCTTTTGGTATATCTCTGTTTTCTTTTTGGTGTTATCCAAATTCACATCGTTGGTCAAGTTGAAAACAATTTCTTCCACTTCCTCCAGGAAATCATTATATTCTCTCAAACTAGGAAAGTCTTCTTCTCTTTTATTGTATATCTTTAGCACTTTTTTCCAAATCTCAACTTCCTTTTCAACAGTAGGATCTTCAAAAAGTTGTACCCTGAAGTTGCTCTTTCTGAGTGGAGTGCCACACTCAGAACAGATTCTGGCTCCTCTCACAAAGAGTAAATCCACACAACTTTCACAACTTACCCACCAGCCCTGTCCGTCTGCCCACTTCTCCCTGCCCCCACCTCTCTCCACGACCCGAGGAAGAGGGTCAGCGGCGGCGAGGGGTGGAGGAACTCTATGGTGCTTTTGATAAGAATGAAGTTTTAAGGTTAGGGGTGTTAGGGTCTGGAGTCGACCACCTCTCAAATAGACAGAAGACACTCACGATAATGCAAGTCACACAGCAAGGTTTATTTCCAGCTAGCTGGGGTCCAAGTATGTGCCCGACGCAGCGGGTTTCAACAAGGACCCGAGCACTCAAAGCTAAGGGTTTATATAGCATTTTCAAAGCACTTAACTCACAGTAATTTTCCACAGTTACATATTATTTTTAGCAAGAGCAAGATAAGACCACTCCTCAATTAGACAGAGTGGTGTTGCAAGATAGGGGCTAAGCAGAGCAAGATAAGACCACTCCTCAATTAGACAGAGTGGTATTGCAAGATAAGCTGACCAGGGCCGCAACTGCCCACAACCCGGTGTGCTTGATTAATTTGTTCTTCAAAACTTCTTTATCAAGCCTTACCCAGTTCCTCCTTTCCTGGGTCATGCACTCAGAAAATGGATTTTCGGCCCTTAAGATGGCCATTCTCATGCTAACTCATTCTTACATTCCCCCCTTTTTTTTGTTGTTACAATGAGGAATCTTGCTCATTGGTAGGGTAGTAGTAGAGGCTTTCAGGAGGGGGCAACTTTTCCTATTGTTGTCTCATGAACAGGAGTTGGATGGTATTAACACGGTCTTTTACAAAATTAATAAGCTTGTCTCAACCTAGTTTTGTTGTGCTTCTCTTTTTCTTTCTCTTACTTTAGCCATGGATTCTTTTACTACTCTTGTATGATCAGCTTCTATTTTGGAGTACGACTTTGGATACGGAGGTGAGAGATTTTTCGAGAACCTGAAAAAAACTTAAGGGTGTGGACTTGTTAAGTGGTCTCTGAATATTAAAATTAACTTAACATAAAGAATTTTCTGCCTTGATTTCTCTCTGGGACACTGGTGCCTGGGTCCAGGAGCATATCAAAAGGCTGCTTACCCAGCCCCCAAGATGGGCCGAGGCATTGTCTACTTGCTAAAGAATCTTGCCTCTTGAACTTCCTGAGGGATAAAATGCAATCTTATCTCTAAGATGGAATTCTCCCTGCCCTTTACCATGCCATCTACAGCTGGGTCTGCATACTAAGCTAGTTGCTCAGTTTTGTAAAATTACCGTCAGGTCCGAAGGAGGAAAGACAGCACACAGGTCCGGGCCTTTTAGCATGCTAAAGTGAATCCTCCACATGGTTACGAATGATTAGCATAACAAAACATATGCTACTGTTCTTTATCTGGGAACACCAATTGATTTCACTGAAGAATAATTCCAGAGCTCAATGTTTAACATAGAGCTTCAGCAGGGGGGCCTCCCTGCATGCAGCCACACTGCCCTGACCACAAATATCTCGCTCTGCCCCCTCCAGAGGCCCTCACCCTACTCTGCCTAAGCCCACGGTTCCTGTCTCATTCTCCCCTCTACAGATAGAGACTCTAGCTGCTGCTAGGGAAAGGGGCGATGATTGCTCTGGTTGCTTCATGCTGAGAGGGGGTGCAGTAAGGGGTGCAGCCAGGTCTCCATCACTGGTCAGTTGAGAGGGCCTCAGAAGATTGGTGCCTTCACTCCAGGTTCTATTTCCACTACTATTTGCAGTTTTGTGACTTCTAGGCAAGACAGAACAAATTATGCCATTAAGTTAAGTAGCAATATCTGGAGTTGGAACCCCCTACTCTGGAAGGACAAACCTGATGAGACCAAGAATGCATGGTTGAATATGAGAATTAAAAACAGCAAAACTCTAATTGTAATGATAAGAGAAAACTAAAACATCTGGAAAATCATAGCCAGATATTTTGAAGAAGCCTGAACTCTGGATCTAGTCCATGTCTCAATGACCAGTACTAGAACCCATCATGGACAAGGCTGCACTATTGAAACAATACCCCTCTCTAAAATCACCCTCATTCTCACTAGAAGTAACCAGATTAAGAAAATAATCAACACTTGGTTCTAGTATTTGCATAAGTGCAGCAAGAACAGCAATTGATTACACAGGCTCTTTTAAATGTGCTTTGCTGGAACTTTTTGCAAGGAATTTCAGATGGAACTTTTAAAGGCCACTTGTGGCCAGACAGCCAAGCCATACTTGCTGAAAGGAAAGGAGCGACACACAACAGCAATTCACCAGAGAGTTCCGCTTTATTAGGGAAAGGTGCTGGGTTATATAGGAAGGGGCATAGGGTGATTGTGGTGTTACTTCTACGGGGCTGGTGGCTGTTGGCTAGGTGCTGGGATTGGGAGGGGGGCGAGAGGTGATTGGGCTTCAGGTGGCGCCGGCGGGAACCGAGGACCCGGAAAAGAAGCCGGAAGTTTGCCATCTTACTGGTGGGGACCCTTCACTTGCCATCAGGTTTTGCCTGCAGTACCTGTAGATTTGGGTGAATTCCTCTCTTCCTGAGGTTCCTGCACCTGCCAGGAAGTGACCTCCCTTACTCACCTGGTGAGGCTGCTGGGAACTTTGTAAGCAAGGTACCAGGCCAGTTCCTCCAAGGGGCTTTGTTGGCTTTATAAAGTCAATCTTAGTTCCTTAAAGCTGTTCATATCCGAGTTTATGCATGTGTCTCTAAGGTAAGACATTCCAGTTAAAGCCTTGGTAATATAACTTGTATTTTTAGTTGGTCCTCTTACAAGGAAAGCAGGTTCTTATTGAACTTAAGCAAATAAACATACTGCCATGAAATATAAAAACACTGAAAGCTTTTAAATTCTTGAGGGGTCAGGTAGAGAGAAAGATAAATGTTTCAATTCTGCTTATAAAGGTATTGTCATTTACGAAACTGTTGTCAGTCAGCTTAAGAGAAAAAAACTTTAAACACTTTATCAGCAACACTTGAAACAAAAAGCCACAAAATCATCTTCCTTAGTTTACTTTATCTTATGTAACCAATACCTGTTCTGCTGAAATCTAGGTCTTTACTAGTTTAGGAGTAATAAAACAGTGACTATAAATGACAAAAGGCTTACAAATGACAATGGTTAAAGATCTGATGAGAGCTTACTATAAGACAGCTGACATATGGAAATGTTGACATTTTTGTAACACAAAACATTCAGTAACAAAGTTTAGCATCATTCCTCTTGACAGTGCTTCCCAGACAATTAAGCAGGTAATCATATATTAGATAAATAAGCCAAATTAGCGAAATACTTTCTCCAATGAGAAAAAGTTCCTCTGACATGTTCCAGGGGCCTTCTGGAAAATATGAGTTAACAAGAAATAAAAACACCTTTTTTTGTATTTGATTTTGGGAAATTGTCAGAAAGATTTTTTTTTTTGGCACTTCCTTAAATAAGGTTATAGGTTGCCATGAAGCAATACTTATCTGTTTAACCAGAATGACAACAAAATACCTCAAAGGCAAATGCAAAAGGTTACACAGTTGTTAGCAAAGTTTAGCTTTTAATCTTTTAATAGTAAGATCTTATTTTCTTAAATACTCTGACAGCTCCTTGAAACTTTAAGCATAAAAAACTGCTTTGATAAAACAGAAAACTCTTTGCAATCTTTCAATATTAAGAGCAAACTAACAGTTAAGAAAAGAAAAGAAAATTCTAATTTTGCTGTGTACTTGATACCGAGACTCATTTGCTTTAATTTTATATAGCATGACTATATTAAATTCTTCCATAAACTTTCTACAACTGTCTTTTTACATTTAGGTTCTTCTTCTTTAAATAAACAGCTGTACTTTAGAACAGTTGCCTTCTTTTGTCCTCAATAAAATGAATTTCCATTCTTTATACCTTCTATTACTTTAAGCAGTTTTAATTAGAACTTAAAACCATTATTAGGTATTTAACTTTCAGTGAACACTGAAAAATAGGCCACTGTAAACTGTTACACTAGCATTCTTCAGATTGATACATCTATGAATATATATTATTGAAAGGAAAGAAGCGACACGCAGCAGCAATTCACCGGAGAATTCCGCTTTATTAGGGAAAGGAGATGGGTTATATAGGAAGGGGCATAGGGTGATTGTGGTGTTACCTCTACGGGGCTGGTGGCTGTTAGCTAGGTGCTGGGATAGGGAGGGGGGCGAGAGGTGATTGGGCTTCAGGTGGCGCCGGCGGGAACCGAGGACCCGGAAAAGAAGCCGGAAGTTTGCCATCTTACTGGTGGGGACCCTTCATTCCCCCCTTTCTCCTTTATGGGGTTGTGGACGTTGCTTTCTCTCTGACTGCTTC